CCGCTTGAATATCAAAGTATGTGAAAAATACACTTAACTTTAAAAATATTTGTACACTTTTTTTTACACAACATTCCTGTCTTTCAAAATTTTAAAGGTCATATCACAAAGAAGATATAAATGCCACTATTGTTATTAGTTGTGTGATGTTAATTAGTCTCCAGATTTTTATCGCCTGAGTTCAAACCCCCGAAAAACTACAGTTTTTTAGAAAAGCATGCAAAGAATAATTTTTCGGCAAAAAAGTTTTTTTTTCTTAATTTCATACATTTCAATGATAAGAACTTGCAATAAATATTTCGTTAACAAATTAAGTTTCATTTTCATACACTTGAGGCTATAGACATTTCCCATGTCTAAGAGGCATAGCGCCCTTTCCCGGTATTTCGCCTTGTACTAGGTTTAAATGGAAAGAACCAATCATTCTGCACATATGAATATATCACTATAATCAAATCAAATATTCTTTACAATTTTAATATTTTTGATTTACTTGACGTTTTACAGAATTATGTATCAAGATTATTTCTTGACTGTTTTCAAGATTTTTGTTATCATGAAAGGTCTTCGCTATTCGTTTCGTAAACTACTGCTGCATCTTAAGTGCGTATCTCTTCTTCTCTTCTAATATGTATCTCTTCTTCTCTTCTAATATGTATCTCTTCTTCTCTTCTAATATGTATCTCTTCTTTCCAAAGTAGTCTAAAATCCTATCGTATGTTATATATTAAGTCAGGCAACGTTAAATTCATATGTATATCGTAAGCAGAGAGGCTTGAAAAATAATATTTGTTTCTGATGTGTATAATATGTGAAAAATATGATGATTAAAAAATAACTAGCATAAGTAAAAAAAAAGAAGTGAGAATTAGATATGTTCTTATAACTATCATTAATGCAAAAAAGTCTGGAGTTGGGGGGGGGGGGGGCTTGAACCGGAGACCTCAAACACAAAAATAGTTCAGCGTACACCACTAGGCTACGCCGACTTACAAAACTTGTGTGTTTTATGTATATATAGCCCCGAGTTAGAGTCTTTAGGAAAATAGGATAGCTGAGATATATAATCAATTTTTAATAAGAAAACCAAGTTAAACCCAAAAATATTTTAAAGTTACAGTATACATAAAGTACCATGATATCAAAAGAACACAACCCCTTCAAGATGTCTCTGGTTTAAGTAGGTTCAAATACATAAATCTTAAGTATTTGAATGCTCACTCGATAGTTCTCCATATATCCCATACAAATTCTGTAAATTTCTTTGACCTTGTTTGAGATAATTATGCTAATTTTTGCCAGGCACTGGTATAATTTGTATTAGTTTATACCTAGTTTTACTTAGTATCATAAAATAATGGAACATTTTGTGTGTTTGTAAATGCGCTATATTTTAGGCCATTTGGTATACTAAGTGCGCTTTACCTCTTTGCCTATGTTCTTATAACTGAGACCTGTCATTATTCCATTGTGAAATATGAAGATAACGAACAGTAATGAAGCTCGAAAGTCCACTGAACAGTTCGAATTTGGAGCAGAGCAAACATGGACCTCTAAAATGTCAGAGATGGGATCAGGTACCATGAAGGAGTAAGTATCCTCTGTCGACCGGTCACACCCGCCGTGTGCTCTTTGTCATGATTATTCCCAAAAAAAAAAAGAAAGAAAAAAAACGTAGACAATTCAGTAAGAAAATAATAGCCTTACGATAGTATAAAAAAAAAACTTTAGTCAGGATTCGACTTAATGATAGATTGTATTTGCTGACAAGGTCATTGTATCGAATATAGAATTTGCGAAATGTTAACTTTAAAAAAAAACTGTTGATATTCTTGTTTCATCAACTTATTTGTCAATAGCTCGCCGCTTTATACACCCCGAAACGAAGTTAAGGGAGGGTTGTAATGGAATCCACATGTCCGCGTGTTTATCTGTCCGTTTGTCTGCAGACATGATTTTGTCCGGACCTGTTCTTGGAGGCTATTGCATGGATTTGCCTGAAAATTTGTACACACATTATTCACGTGCAACATATATAAAGATTTACACCTGTATTTTCATCATGATTGGATATTTTTTCTTCATTTTACATTTTTTTCATTTATTTTTGACTTAGTCATTTTGAGTTAATGTAGATTAAAAACACAGAATCAAGAAACTGTCAGTTGGTACACCTGTTGAAAAATGTGAATTGCAGCTTAAATCCAGGCCATTAAAAGTATTTTAAAAAGTTTTATGGTAGATAGTCCCTACAAATTTAAGAGTTACATGTATGCAGTTACCTCATAAAAAATGTTGCGTCAATATTACACAGTTTTATCCATTATATAAGGCTTTGTAACAATAAAAAAAAATCTTTGTTTTTAATGACATTAATATACATTTATATTGTACTACATAAATGCAGACTTAACGGTGCATCGTGCAGCAGATATTTTAAATCCATTCGTCCATTGGAAGTATAATGAGTGGACATGCATCCAGTTAAAGATAAACAATTAATGAGTTCATTGTGGGAAGGCTGTCTAAATCAATTCTGTTAGAGCATCTCTGATCAAGAAGGTGTTATCTACATGTATATCTCCGGGGAATTGGGCAGAAGAATTAAAGATCTGGTCTCTAACAATCTTAATTGCAATTGATAGTCTCTCAAATTAAAATACATACATGTAGTTATTGACAGTCTTTTATTTTTAATTAATTTGGTATAAAGTTATCAAGGCTAATTTGATATTGTATGATATGATATTTTTTTTATGTCACAACAAACAAATTCTCGCAAAACAAGTCTCACAAAGATGACAGATAGTTGCAATAATTGAATATTTTTTTCCATCTAATAAAAAAAATAAAATTATAAGTACTTTGATGTTTTATTAGGCTGCAGTTTAATTCATTAAAAATACAATAAGCATTAAATTTAAAAAAAAAATGTGAATACCTCTTAGCTCCAAAAATACTTTTAGTGATTTGGTACCTTTTATGAAAATCCCAGCGGGAGTATTTGTCCATTAAGGACAGTTCTAGGTCTAGAAATTGTTCGTATCTAGAGCATGCTCTTGCGTATCAAATCAACTTGGAGACATAAACTCCATATGTAGGTGATAATGGTATATTGCTACATAAATAAGGGATGTTGACGATAGAAAAGTTGACGTCATAACCTTTATCAAAAAGTTTTGATGTTAGGTTGCTATTAATGTCTTTTTCTAGTAACATAGCATTAGTCCAATAGCAATAAGTATCGGTGAACAGAAATCACTGTTGCTTACTTAAATGGGAAAAGTACATACAATTATAGTGTTCAACGAAATCATCTAGGTCTAACGAAATGATAAGAATGCTTAAATTGATTAGAAATTGATAATTACGCAGTATATTAATTACAAGGGTGATTGGGGCTATCTATGACTAATAGCATAATGTACTATAAGAATGTCTTGTTTCAATTTTAATGAACAGGTTCATGAAAAAATCCTTACAAATATATATAACAGGTTCCAGTAAATGTTCCACCAAGCCTCTTTCTTACTCCTCACTAAAATATCAACAGCAGTGGAAAAGAAATTTCAGGATTATTGTACAAAATTATATTCGAGAAGTGTTTTAATTCAGATGTGGATTCTAAAAACTCCAAGGAATTTTTTAAAAAATTTTAATCACAAAATTTTAAATTATATCAAAACATGACTTCAACACTTTATACAACCACTCCCAAAGATCGATTAAAGTCCAGGCTTTTTGACATCATAGACAGCTGGGTTTTTTTCTCAATACAAATGGATCTCGTAAATTTACTAACCTTGTCATTGGTCATCTGCAAAATTATTTAAATAAAAAACATATTGATTGTACACACAAGTACTCCGAATTTGATATTAAAAAGATGTTCGGGTTTCTGATTGACAATAACTATGTAGTCTTCCCAATACTCTGTCAGAATCTCAGGGGAACTACTTTTTGTATTCATATGAAGCATGATTAAAAAAAAAACTTCTACCTGAAAATAAAGTGTCTTTTGCTGTGGCCTTCAATTCAACATTAAGATCTATCGACTACGTTTTATCAATAAACAATATTCATTTTCATTCCTATATTGGTTCGATATAATTATCCTTTTGAACTTTGAAATAAAAGATGACACAACTTTTTCATACTTGGATATTTTACTAGAAAAAAAAGACCTTATTGGTAACATATTGGTAACCTAAATCGAGGCAAGCTGTTGACAAATAAGTTGATGAAACAAGGATATCAATATTCTCGTTTAAAGTCAACATTTCGCAAATTCTATGATCATACATTAATCTTGTTAGCAAACACAATATATCATTTAGTCGAACGTTGACTGACGTTTTTCATACAATGTTATGCCATTATTTTCAAACGACATTGTTAACGGATTTTCCCGTTTGCCCGATCATGACAAGGATCACACGGCGTGTGTGACCAGTCGGCAGGGGATGCTTACTTCTTCATGGCACTGGATCCCTTCTCTGATGGTTTTAGAGGTCCAAATTTGTTCTGCTCCCAATTTTATTTGTTCCAATGTACTTTTGAGCCTGATTACTGTTGATTATCTTCATATTTCATGAAACAGATAAACTCAATATTTACATCATTACACGATGTAATTTCCCCTTTGTCCCCCAAAACATTTTTCAGTAGTGTATAGAGAGTGGTCCTTAATCTTAAATAAATAATTGTGTCCAAAATCAAGATTATCCTGTTCCTATTCAGAAAAAAAATCATTAAGTTTTTTTTTCTTGTCAGGTCACGTGACCGATGGATGGGGCCGCTGGTTTAGAAGACGATCTTCAGCACCTGCAGTACATGTGACTTCAAGCAGTAAGTATTTGCACATTTCACTTCAAATGACAAGATTTGAGGCACTTCATGAACCAATATCCTCTCAATCACTCAATCAATGTCAGTAATGTTCATTTCAGCTCTGAATTTCTTTACACACTTCTGAGTTCTGTTTTGTTTCAAAGATCTGTATGGTTGTTATGTTGACCAATGGAGCAGAACTCTTAATGGCGGAATGACAAAATCAAACAGTATGACCGTCAGCAAATGCTTTGAACGCTGCAAAAGGGAGAACAAGAAATATTATGGCTTAGAGGTGAACTGTTTTCTTTGGCACGTAAAATTTTTCACATTTCATTGAAACTTTGTATAATTTATTTCAGGTGTGTATAGAAATTTAACTAAAAATGTTGATAAATGGTTAAAGTAAAAAAAAAAATTCAAAAGGAAACATTAGGAGGTTTCAGGACATGTTCTCACACTCCGTCTTCTTTCTTGACATAAGTTTATCGCGCACATAAAGTCTCCGCGCTTCCAGTTTTCTTCGTCAATGACTGCCTCCTGAATATTGCTCTGGAAGATGACTAGTTTTGGATTTTTAAAAATGATATTGAATATTGTCTGTCTTTAACTTTAAAATATCAATTTCAATCAATGTAAACCCGGAACATTTCGAAATTTAGTGCTGTCCTTAGTAGAATTCATCAAATCTCAATGAGCTTATATTGTGTTTATTTTATCCTATTCTTTGCTCATCAAAGTTTGAAGAGCATGAACATGCAAGCTAGTATATTAAATTAAGCGACCCTGATGGTGCCTTTCCATAGGTTGGCGTGGAGTGTTTCTGTGGAAATTATTTGACAAAAACAAATAAAAAGTCCACGAATGATTGTAAGATGGCGTGTAAGGGGAGACGCAGCGAAGCTTGTGGGAACCACTGGAGGGTTCTGATTTATAAAAACCCTTATTACTCATGTAAGTGAAGCACCGAGACTCTAAAGCCTTCGTCTTCTTACAATGATAATTAATGTATCTTAATTAAATAAAAAATACCATTAGAGTATGCATATGAAGCTTCCTTTTAGTTAAATCTAACACAAATATAAATACATGCTCCTTAAACGACGAGAAAATTTGTTAAAAGACATACTTTTAAGAACATGCTGGACAAGATGGACTCATAAAATATTGTTTACGTAATTTCATTTCAGCAATTATCGTGAAATCAGGTATGAATTCTACAACAAACCAATTTCAACACTTTTTGTAACTTCACAATGTAATTTAATATAATTTAATATTCGCATATTTTATTAAAAACATGATAATCTCACAAACAAAGAAAAATTCTCAACCTGTGTATGAACATATACATTCAGGATATATGGGTTGCTACAAGGACCAGTGGAGCCGCACTTTGAATGGAAAGAAGACGACTTCCAGCAGGATGACTGTTGACATGTGTCGAAATATTTGTACCAATGAGAACACCGTATACTACGGCGTGGAGGTACTTTCCCAAATTATAAAACAATATACTCCCGTTATGCTATTCACTTATTAAAGCAGGTTGGTTTGCAATTGCTTCATTGGCTTAACAATGAGCAAGTAATTTTGAAAGTTAAAAACACAGTTTGAGTTCTGTTTACCCTTATGTCGTCTAGCTTTTCGTGAGGCAAAGTAATATAATTGTGCCATGAGCGAAAATTATTTTATTTCTCATAGTTTCATAGTAAATGAAATATGAAGATAACGAACAGTCAGAAAGCTCAAAAGTCCATTGAAACGACACAAATTGGGAGGAGCAAACACGGACCTCTAAAACATCAGAGGTGGGATCAAATGCTATGTAGGAGTAAACATTCTCTGTCGACCTGTCACACCCAGCGTGTGCTCTTTGTCATGATCGAGCAAACGAAAAAATCCGTGTCAAATTCAGTGAGAAGACAATGGCTTAATAATTTGTATGAAAAACGTCAGTGAACATTCTACGTAACGATAGATTGTATCTGCTGACAAGGTCATCGTATCATCCATAGAAATGTTGACTTTAAATGAGACTGTTGATATCCTTGTATCATCAACTTATATGTCAATAGCTTGGCTCGTTTTAGAAATTGTTCATATGTATTGCTCTTGTGTATCGAATCAACTGGGAGACATAAACTCCATTTGCATGTAATAATGGTATATTGCTAAATAATTAAGGGTATTTGACGATAAAAAGTTGAAGTCATAAACATTTTATTTTTTTCTAATAAAATATTCATATATGAAACATATGTGTCAGACTATGTGGTGTCTTTTAATTCGATATCAAAGGGGTATATCGAATCGACATAGGAATAAAAATGAATATTATTAATTGAAAAAACGTTGTCGATAGATCTCCTAAGTAAATGTTGAAGGTCACAGCAAGAGACTTCTTCTTTTCATGTAGAAGTTTTTAATTAAATTCTGCTTCATATGAATACAAAAATAGTTTTGCTAGTAACGGAACACAATTGATACCCATAGAAATTCAAACTGATTGTTGGAAGACTTGTCCTTCAAAAAGATAGTGTCAATCAGAAACTCAAGCATCTTTTTAATATCAACTTCAGAGTACTTGTGTGTACATTCAGAATGTTTTTTAACAAATGAAATATCGGCATAATGGGCCATGCCAGATGTTTTAGCAATACACACTTAAAAACATTATTTTTCTCCAATAGAACGCTAACGAGTGTTTTTGTGGGAACCGTTTGACACGAAGTGAAAAGAAAAGCGATCATGACTGTCTGAAGCAATGTCGAGGAAACAGACGACAGGGGTGTGGCGGGGCCTGGAGAGTCGCTATATATAGAAACTACAACTACAAACAGAGTAAGCAGTTTATTGTAACAAGAACTTGTTGCAAAGCTATGAAATAACAATCTAAAGCTCACTGATGAATACGAAATAGGGAAAAATCAACTAAAGATAATCTTACGTTCAGATGAAACAACAGTACCAGTCTGAGAATACATTCCGATTTCAAAACACGACCTAAGAAATTCAGTTTTTTTTTATAGCGAGAGTACAAACCTCAGGTAGGCATGAACTTTAGTCTCACTGTGCTTGGATTACAACTGTGTTGTAATAGCTACAATATAAATATAATTTGTATGTTTTATTAATGTTCTGGTAAGGAATTTCTTTTCCTTCCCTTTCTTCTTTAATAAAATTGTCTCCATAATTCGGAATGTCTGTAAGTTCTGATTTGATACTTCATTGTTTTTTTTAATTTTCTTGTGGCATCTATTTCTTGGTGAATGTGAATCTGATTCACAGTGACGCCTCTTTACTCTTACTTCCACTTTAAGTGTTTTAAATATGTGTTGTTTTGCACGTTATTTCTTTTCTTAAGACAGACTTTATTATCATTGCATGCATGATATGGTATATGAACAAACTTTAACACTCTTTTTAGAAGTTTTAAAATCAAATCTCTCTTATATATTTGAAATGAAGTGATATGGTCCATGATTCTGCTCATATCTCGATGGAAAAAATACTTGACATACAAAATGTTTTCCTTCTTAGTCAGAGTTATGGTGATTCAGAAAATTACAGAAAAAAACCCAAAATGCAAATCTTAAAATGGAGAAATAAGTTAAAATGTAGTTTAACGTCGTTGAGAGCTCTAGCTACAAATGAACAATGTGTAAGTATGAACAGAAGGGTATCTATAGAATTTAGAACAGGTTTTATTTGGCACAAAAGCATGTAAATTCAACAAGTGTCACGTGTGATCATTCATGGTCTTTGGATATGTCTTCATGAAAACTTTTTAACAACATGCTTATGAAGATCATACGAGGGCTGTCCAAAAAGTCATGGACAATTGCTATTATTTTCTGTGACCATTGCCAAATGTGTACGATAATATTTTAATGTACACCATTTTTTAAGGAAAAATTATAGAAAGTATAGCATAACACCATTCTGACTTTAATATAAGCTAGTTTCATGAAACGTCATAAATAGGGACTATGTATTTTTATCACATGTCCTTGGACACATGCTATTTTATCTTTTTATAATAAGTTGAATGAGATATTTTATTTAAAAAAGGATCCATGATTGAGTAAATTTATAAAGTCAAAATATTGAAAACACCGTATTTTATGAAGCTTGTGCACTATCTGCAACCTTAAAGACGGCTTTCTTTACAAAAAAGAAATTAGGATCAAGCAAAATAATACTACCATTCAAATTAACCAAAAAACTCAGTTGTTCAAGAACTTTTTGGACAACCCTCGTATAACTCTACGTGCGTGTCAAGATTAATGAAATTTTTTCGAGATAATCATGTTTAACACACAACATCCGTATTTTCTATTTAAATTATGTCAAAAATACTAGCAAGGAAAAACAAAACACGTAACTTTAAATACCTCAGCTCAAAAAACTTTTTAAAATAATACGTTTTTGTAAATAATATGCACGTTTTGTAAATAAATTGCCACTAAACAAAAGCGAAAACATAGACAGGCTGAATTTTGCAATTTTATTTAAGTTAGATATTTTTAAATAATAAAATACTTTGAAGTATTTATAGTTGCTCCTTTTTTGACCGAATAACAGCCTTTATTCATTTAGGCATGTTAAGAACTAAGTTTTCACAGACCCTTTTTTGCAATTGAACAACGTTCCCGCTAGAGGGATTCCACACTTCTTTTACTCTCTTTATTTGTGTCGGAACTCTTTCAAGAAAACAGTCGTGTAATAAACACTTCATCTGCGAAATTCTCTCGTACTTTTTTCAGTTATAACATCCTACTAAATAATACGTTTTCTGATTTATACTTAACAAGTACACAAAGTACCAACATCTTTCAGTATCTCCTGATGAACACAAGAGAGCTTCTCAAATGCTGTGCGTTTCCTACACTAATACAGCCGAAAATAAATTCCCGATTGAAACTTAATCTAAAAGAAAATTAAGGTGGAATAAGGAAACTTAAGTTTAAATATGCAAACGGCTAGAAAAAGACATATGGAAGATGTTTCAAAGGGAATTGTACTCAATTCCAAAATATCTCTGTGAAAACCTATTTCATGGCAAACCTATAGTAGCATTAAGGGTGTTATTCGTGCAAAAAGAGAGAGCAACTTCATAATAGAAAAGAAATTTTCAATCATGAATGTAAAAACTATGATAAAATTGCAAAATTATCAAATCTTATGTGTACGCTTTTTTAAATAACAATATATTTATTTTTAAAATGTGCATTTAATTACATATAATTCACAAAAGAATGTTAGGATAGAAGGTTTTTTTTGAGCTGTTAGTATTAGTCCTAATATCTGTAATAGGAGGTTCTGATAAACTTATACCTGTGAGCTTTTTATAAGGCTTGGTGGGTTGCTACAAGGATCAACGTGATAGAGTCTTGACCGGTGGTAAAACTAAGTCCTCGTCCATGACCCTGGCTCTCTGTCGATCCCGATGCCAAAGAGAAAACAAAAAGTACTATGGATTAGAGGTAAATAAGATGATGGGATCACACATTCTTACGGGTCCTATTATATTTTTTCAGAAAATTCTGGGATATGGGATTACAATAATATAAATATTGAAAACCAGACTTTTTTTTCAACTTAATTTTGTCTTTTAAACATTTTTCGTAAATTTTGATTTAGGTTGGGGAGGAGTGTTTCTGTGGTAATTATTTGAAACACAAAAACAAGAGACCATCCTCGGAATGTCTAAGACCATGTAGAGGAAACAAGGCCGAGGGGTGTGGCGGGAACTGGAGAGTAGTCATCTACAGGAATTACAATTACAAATGTATGTTAATAACTATAATAACGACTGATATCCCATACAAAAGTAATCATCTATAGGAATAACAATTATACATGTATGTTAATACTATAATAGTGACTACTGATGTCACAAAAAAGTAATCATCTATAGGAATTGCAATAACAGATGTATGTTATTTCTTTATCCTGCAACTACCCCTTGCATTGACCGAATAAAGGTAAGCTAATAAACCAAAGCTTTATTCGGTCAATGCCCTAATAAAGCCTTGTGCATGTATTCCGACGTTCTAAACGCATTGTGACGTCATACACATTGCAATTTTTATGCCGTGGCGTCTTATTTTCAACTGCAGAGATGTTGAAAATAGCTCGTTTTGGAGGTCTGATGTAAAAATATATTGCAGGATAAATAAAATACATGGATACTGTCTCGAAATATAAGCGATATTTGGGCTCGGGTCGAAAACGTGATAGAGAGCTCGGCAAGCCACGCCCTCTATCACGTTTTCTTACCCTCGCCCAAATATCGCTTATATTTCAAGACAGTAGCCTTGTATTTTATATATATTGACTATTGACGTCACAGACAAAAGTAATCATCTACAATTACAGATGTATGTTAATACTATATTGACTATTGACGTCACAGACAAATGTAATCATCAATAGGAAGTACAATTACAAATATACGGGCAACTGATGTAACAGATAAAAGGATAAAGCACGTTAAAAAAACAACCTTTTAAGAATGATTGTAAAATCTCACGGTTCTCGGATACAATTCATAAACAAAACAAAGCAAAACTCGACTTGCAAGTACAACTCAACAGTTTCAATAAAATAAAAATGATTATAGAAAAAATATCGAAATTTGTATTGTTGTTGTTTGTAATAGGTTATGTAATAGGTAATGTTATAGAAAATGTTAATAGAATGGTAATGTAATGATTGTTATAGGTATGTAAATCATTGTAATATGTTGTGTTATAATTGTTATAGAGTATCGTTGTAATGGGTAATGTAAATGATTGTCTTAAGTTCTAGTTAATTTTAATGTAATTAATTGCAGTAAGTAATTTACTCTTTCTTTGATTCAACAGCTAACATTGTCAAGACAGGTAAGATTACATAAGATACTAGAAATCAATGGTCAATGCTATAATTTTTTATATTTTTCTGAACATTTATAAACATATGTAAAAAAAAAATTGTAAGGTAAATGGGCAAGATTTGCTTTAGATTATGTGGGTTGCTATCGGGACCAATGGGCGAGAACCCTTGGTGGAAAGAAAACCCGTTCAGGCTCCATGACTTTTGAGAAGTGTAAATCAATTTGCTCCCACAAGAAAATCAATTCAATATACTTCGGATTAGAGGTAAAAAAAAAAAACAACAACACAAAATTATTTTGTTTCACTGGAAAGAAATAATCATTAAACCATAAACTTCAATAAAATCATAAATGAAGTGCATTACAAAATTTCATATGACAGTTCTTGCAAATAATTTCAAAAGTTAAGATGATGTTTGAGATGGATTTTTGATGGCTTTAAATTCTCATCTCTTGAACATGAAAATAAAATAAATTCAGAGTGTTCGACTGACTGTTATACTCAAAATTGGATAATTCATGTACAAAGAAATTTTTAATGCCTTTACAATCAAATCATTATTCCAAGAACTTGAATCTCACATTGCTATTAATGCATTGCTCTAACAGAATCGAGACGAGTGCTTTTGTGGAAACTCGTTGACAAGAAAAGTGGTGAGAGACGAAGGTGAATGTACACACAAGTGCAAGGGTAACTCCAGACAGGGATGTGGGGGGCCCTGGAGGTTAGCCGTCTATAAAAACTCCAAACACACCAAGAGTAAGTCACTAGAATCACTCACTAGACGCGTCTGTGATAAATTAAAAGTATAAACTGTTTTATAAAAAAAAAAAAAGGAACATAAAGCAGTAACATAGGTGGCGCGTCTTTATCATTCAATTTCTAACTTATAAGAATTATTATAATGAAAAGTTTTCTATTTAATATTTGTTTATTTGATTGTGCATAAACAATGAATCATGTAATTATTTACTTGTTTTCTGTTTTAATTTACAGCTAGAGTTTCCACAAAAGGTAAACAAACTGGTTCAGAATTCCTTTCCTAGATATTGGTAATAAGATGACAGCAAGTAAAAATAAAATATCGATAATGCAGTTTCTAAAACAATGGTCTTTTTGCTGGTAATATACATGCAGATAACCTTCTAAATGAAATTTTTAGCCTCGTTATTTTAACAAAGAATCATTTTTGTTCACCAGACATCTTAGGTTGCTTCATTGACCAACGCTCCAGAGTGCTAGATGGTGGAAGAACTAAGTCTAGCCACATGACTCTTGAAAAATGTAAAAACAGATGTATTAGAGAGAAAAAGAAGTATTATGGTTTAGAGGTATTCAAAATCGGACGTCATTGTTTATATTTTAATGCCCCTTCCCCTAGACTGAACGACTAGGAGTTACTCCCAATTTTATTCATTCTGCATTATATAGGAATTTCTGTAACAACATCCCTTTTCAAATCTTTGTTATTCAAATAGCAAAAAATATTTCTGTCAGGTCGGCGAAGAGTGCTTCTGTGGCAATTATTTAACACGACAGTCGGCGCGACCAAACAAAGAGTGTATGACCCCGTGTAAAGGGGACAGAACTCAGGCCTGCGGCAGCGGATGGAGAGTACTGATCTACAAGAACACAGCTTATAAATGTATGTAAAGGATTCAGAGAATTCCTACGGATGTAGATTGTATTGACGAATATGTAATTTAGAGACACATCATGTATAAATCTTGAAAAAAATTAACAAGAATAAGGAAAAAAAAAGAACACATTGTACTATGTAGCAAAACTGTGCTTTGATTTTTTAATTGCGGTAATTACTATCATCGGATTTTGTTTTTATTTTGCAGCTAGAGTCGTCAGTCAAAGTAAGTTCCAAACTCCTTCAAGAATAAAATGGTACAATATATTCAGAAAAAAAGATTAAATATAGCAATAAGAAAAACTTGGTGCAATGCATTAGGGAGAGTATGAAATGTTTCTGTGCGTCTCGGAAACCTTTCAACAAACAGAAATGATAATTATTTAATGAACATGTAGATTTCAAGGGTTGCTACAAAGACCAGCGGTCTAGAACACTGAAGGATTATAAAACTAGTTCTTCAAGAATGACAGTCAAGAAGTGTTGGGACATTTGTCACAAGAAAAATTACCAATACTACGGAGTACAGGTAGGGATATATGTATTAATTTTTATGCTCCCACCATGAAATGGTCGGAGTATATACCTCTTTCTATCTGTCATTCAGTCAGTTTTCCAGACTTTCTTGATGTACTTGTAGATAATGAGCTGATTTTTATTAAGTCTCCTCATTATATTGATGACTTACAGGTCAAATTCGATTTTTGTTTTTACGTCGAATGACCCATTTTCACTAAACGTAAATTTTGCCCTTAGATGGAAAATTATTTAGTCACTGTTTTCCAGGTTATTTTTACCGTACTTGTAGAGCTAATTTTTAATATGTCTCTTCATATTGATGACGTTAAAATCATCCTGTAGCAACGTTTTTCAAAGTTGGGGGACTTTGAATGAAAAATTTCAGCAAAAGACTATCCTGAAATAAAGTTGGCCTTTTCTTGTCCCCCCCCCCCCCTCGTAATATAGGTATGTAGATCAAGTTCCAGTTTTATTTCGGATGACCTCTTTTCACGAAAGTTATTGCAAGTAGATTTTGAAAATTTCTAACTTTTTATTGTTTTTAGGACTTTTTTGCCATGATTGTAGATAAAGAACTAGTTTTTTGGTACTTTTCTTCATATTGACGACTTCCAGATCACGTTTAAATTTCATGAATAACCCATTTTTTACGAAAGTTATTGCCCTTAGACTGAAAATGTCTAATTATTCAATATTTTCTGGAGTTTTTTGCCATACGTATTGAAAATGAACTGATTTTTGGTATGTTTCTTCATACTGATGACTTAATTATAGATAGTTTCGAGTTTCATGTCGATTGGCCCATTTTTCACACAAGTTATTGCCCTTAAACTTACACAGGCAAAACGAGAATGTTTCTGTGGCAACAAACTGACGAGGAAGGTGAAGAAGGACAGTGAGGAATGTACCCAGCCCTGTACAGGGGACAAATCTCAGGGATGTGGAGGGAGCTGGCGTCTGGCCGTGTACACTAATTCCAAGTTCCCAAGTAAGATTATTTACTAGTATACAGGAGAATAATTTAGTAGTATATACGGTTATAGTTTCTTCTCCCTATAAAGAGGGCATATATTGTGAACAAGTGGCAGGCAGTAGCTTACATTACAATTTCCAGAAATTAAGGCTGTCATTGAAGGCCAGATTGTTCTACAAACTATAAGCTCAAATGTTACAAGGAAAACCCTTGAAGTTCTCTTAAGTTCATTGATATGCTGCCATAGGAAAACATACATACATCTACGTTTTATAAATCAATGGTTATGTTTATGTAATAATTGAGTAAATTTCTTTTGTAGCAAAAGTTTCTACAACTCGTAAGTATAGAATATGATATATTCGTACCTCATAAGAGATTTTTTTGTTAACTAAACAATTTAAGTAAACTTATTCAGTACTAATATCTTTAATTTTTCTATAAGACTTTGTGGGCTGCTTCAAGGACCAGCGGTCACGGACATTAAATGGCGGGAAAACAGTCTCAAAGAGTATGACAATGGAGAAATGTCAACAAATTTGTGAAAAGAAAAACATGAAATACTTTGGCTTAGAGGTGCATATTTTCATCTTAACATTTATTGGACTGTTACGAAGTATGATGTTCTCAAAGTTAATTCAACTGAATTTTTTTTGTAATGAAATGACCAATCAAAAGTGTTGCTTTAAAGGAGATTTTTTGGATGTAGACAAAAAGCTGTTGAACTTGGGGAAGTTTTTCCGCTTAGAATCGAATTCTATATTGGTTTACTAGATCTCTATCAGAGATGATTCAGCTAAAACTTTTAAAGGCCAATCAAGATTTTTGACAGAAATTTATAGAAAACAATTGCAAAAACTGGTTAAGTATTTCAAATTCCATATCATTGGTCACTGTACAATCTACCAGTAAGATATTTGTTTAACATTGGTGACTTTTTTTTTTTTTTACAATATTAAGGTAGGGGAGGAGTGTTTCTGTGGTAATTATTTGACGAAATATGAAAAGAAAGATAAAGAGGATTGTCTGATGGCCTGTCGCGGGAACATCAAGCAAGGTTGCGGTGGTCACTGGAGGGTACTCATCTATAAAAACCCTAAATATAAGAGTAAGCACACGTTGTTTTCTCAAATTGAAAGTTAGAATCAAACAACATACATGTATAATCGAAATTTATTGAGTGCAGTACGTGTTAATTGAAAATTTACCTAATTGTAATTGATCATTATTCATACTAGTTTATTTGTAACTACGCATTGCATAAGTTTTTTTAATTTCCAAGATAAAAAAATAAGCGAGATATAATCTTAAAAAAACCCCATAGTTTAACGAACAATTTCTTTTCTTCAATCATTAGCAAACATTGTTCAGAAAGGTGAGTGATTTTAATCAGTTATAATGTTTATAATATATTTCTTCGGTATTTTTAGAAATCAGAATTAGTAAAGTACTGAGAATTTATTATGTACCTCATGGCAAGACCAAAACTTGAACAATCTTTTAATCTTTTATAAAAGCTAGACATTTTGATACCAAAACTCAAATTGTAGTATTATAATTTGTGCTAATTGTATAGAATATGTGGGTTGCTACAAGGACCAATGGTCAAGAACACTTAAAGACAAAAAGACAACGTCAAAGAAAATGACCGTGAACATGTGTAGAAAAACCTGCCTTGGTTTGAAAATGAAATATTATGGTCTAGAAGTAAGAAAAGATATATAAATTTTATCTTTCGAAAACTAAAAATAAGTGAAAATTAGAAATTATTATCAGATACAGTGTATATGACTTGAATAAAAAAATGATAAAAGTTTTTACCAATCAGTAGTTATATTCAAAAGTACAAATGTAACTATGCAGGCGACAAATGAGTGTTTCTGCGGTCTCAAACTATCCAAGAAGGTAGTTAAAGCTGATGGCGAGTGTACCCGGCCCTGCAAGGGAGATAAATCTCAGGCCTGCGGAGGAAGCTGGAGACTGGCCGTGTACGAAAATCCCGCCTTCCAACATAGTAAGTGAGAGAGAGGAATGGGTCAATTAATTTGTACAAGTAAAACTGCGACATATTTTAAATATAATTTGATCAATACTTGTTTAACGAAGAAGATGAGCATCAAGTGTTTCACATATAAGTTGAGCAGCTTATTTAATTTCTTAATAATAAACCTTGTGCATTTTTCTCAACAGAATTGTCACATATATGATCATCACATGTTTGAAAGTTATGTTGTACATATGTCAAGCTTAACATGTTATACATATAAACGCTTACATGGTCATATGTCTGTCACACAGTTTACAAATATTAGTTCCACATATTCTTGCCTTTTTATTCATATGCTCATATTTCATGGTTAACATACGATGATTAAAAATATTTTGAATATGTTGCAATTCAACTGTGTTACTTTCTGTAACAGCTTTTTCGAATTTTAATTTTGTTTTAGTTGTATGTATGCGCCTTTGAGATACGTACCTTACAGATTTTTGCTATAAAAAATCTTATCGTTATTTCTTTACTTCTCTCAAATTTTTATACATATATAGAAGAGGTGAAATGAAAGGGTTTTTTTTCTTAGAGATAATCAAGACTTGAAAAATAACTCATCTTTGTTTAACATGTTCATATATTTTCTATTATAGCTGCTATCGTGAAGAAGGGTAAGATTTTCGTTTAGAATACACTAGTAGGTGATTCTTGAGCATATCTAAAGAGATTGAACATATTGATACAATTACTTCATGATTTTGATGTAATGAAAGGAAATTTATGATGTATAATAAAGATGATTTGATTGATTTTAGAATACTTGGGTTGCTACAAGGACCAGTGGTCCAGGACACTAAAAGAAAAGAAAACAAGAACTTATGACATGACGGTAGACAAGTGTAGGAAGATATGCACGGATCTCAAATTTAAATATTATGGTGTAGAGGTAAAGTGATTACTTATTCATTTAGCAGTTGTCTTGACCCCCAAAATTTATTTTTCTTTAATAAAATAAGCTTTTTACACTATAATGATGTTAGATTTGAACCAAAAATTGCTTTTTTAGGCTGCAAAAGAGTGTTTTTGTGGTAACAAGCTCACGAAGTCTAACAAGAAGAAGGACAGTGAGTGCATGACCCCATGTAAAGGAGACAGAGAACAGGCGTGTGGCGGAAGTTGGAGACTTGCTGTGTACAAGAACCCCAACTTCAAACCAAGTATGGATGAATGCAGTGTGATATTATTAACATGTACAATATACTCATAAGTACTTAATACATGAACATCATTACTGGCTTGAACAAAAATGTCTAAATGTTTATTCTGTTTCAGCGGCCATTGTAAAAACTGGTAAGTTGAAATTTCAAATAAAATTTAACTTACAATTTTTCTTTCATTCCTTTTCTTTCCATAAAAAAAGGTTATTAAACTCACTTTGCAATTTCCCTTCCTCTCTGCCACATGCAGAATTCTTTTTCTTCTTTGGATGCTACATGAAAAGTTATTTCAATCAATTTATTGTCTAAATAAGAGAAATAATTATCACTTGGGGCCATCTTTAAAATATTGTTTTGATTGCCCTCTCCCGACCGACTGGCTAAAAATGGCTCGACTCAAAACTTTTTTTTAGCCTCCAGGAAGCAATTATTTCTTTATGCATTCTGGAAAATAGATTTTGAAAATTCAGCATTAAAATTTAAATTTTCTGAGAAATAAAATTTTCTCATCTACCTATCGACCCAATTTTTTCATCCTGAGTCGGAAGAAGGCAAACAAACATTACTTTAAAGTTGGCCTGGTGAATTTTTGCTATAAGATAGCTAAGAGATATACAAACAGATGGCATCATGCTCTATCATGTTCTGGATAACGTTTACTTATATAAGTATTACGATTGATTGAATAAAACTTTGTAGAGTACATTGGTTGCTACAAAGATCAAGTTAGCCGAACACTTAAGGCAAAGAAAATCAGATCCAAAACTATGACTGTTGATAAATGTAGAAAGACATGCTCGGATCTGAAGTACAAATACTATGGAGTGGAGGTACCGCCACCCTTTATTTCGAATGAAAAAGAATAAGAGTTGATGTTTTCACTTCTGAAATAATTCTTTATAATAGTATAAGCCCAGTTTATTAATGATGACTTGACATACAATCCATGAAAATGTTTCATATGATTGATTAAGATGTTGAATTTTTTTGTGAAGGCAAGCAATGAGTGTTTCTGTGGTAACAAACTCACACAATCTAACAAGAAGAAGGACAGTGATTGTATGAGGCCGTGTAAGGGAGATAGAGAGCAGGCTTGTGGTGGAAGTTGGAGACTGGCTGTTTATCAAATAAAAAGTAGGTTACTTGTTGTTCTTCGTATATAATATTATGTTTGTTTCAATTTTTTTCAGTGTATACTTAAAATGCACCTTTCTTTAAAGCTAAAAAATCCCCAACAATATGTAAAGACACAAAAGGAGAAATACAGTGTAACTCCAACTCGGGTGAAAGATCCGTCTGTATTGTGCCAAAAGCAGAACTCGTTCTCAGTGTAGAGCCCAAGTCATCGGGCACGGAGTGTGAGGCTGGTAAAACATATGGACGGCATGGTGACGAAATATGGGTGTCGGACAAATGTGGCGGGAAATTTGAAGTTTGTTACAGACAAGGTAGATATGAGTAATAAAGATTCAATGCTTATTTTTTTAAGGGGAGAAATCTTTCTTTAAAAAAATATCTCATTTTTGAGAAATATGATATTCTTTGATTTTCTTCTTGCAGCTGAGGAAAAGGAAGTTTCAAACGGTATAATTATTTTACTTAGACATATTTAAGTTAACTTGATATATGTTTACTTCAAAAATCGAATCCACGTTGTATCACTTACAAAATTAAATTTCATATCACATGTATTTTCTTGTTGTAGACTGTATAAAGACAGCTGATGGAAGTGATTACACAGGAACCTGGAATAAAACTAAATCTGGCAAAACTTGCCAAGCCTGGTCATCACAGACCCCCCACAAACACGGACACACCTCCCTCCCAAACAACTACTGTCGAAATCCTGACGGCGAACCTCATGCCTGGTGTTACACTACTGATCCTAAAACCCGATGGGAGTTCTGTGATCTAAAACAATGTGGTCTGTCTTTTTCTTATCATTATACATCTAATTCTCCTATATTTACTAGAATAACTAGAATTATATTTCTCTTATCTTGATTAAATAATTCATGCACAGATTTTTTTAAATCTAATTTTTAACGAATGCGAAAAATAAAGAAAAAATGACAAATAAGTCCAACAATAACATTTCATACAGGATTGTTTCTTATATTATTGACAGCATTATTGATAAAAAGAATAAAAAATGTTTTATTCCTTTTACAGAAGCACCTAAGCCCGGTGAAGCAGAAGGTAAACTCAATCCCACAGCATGTCTAATTAATGTCTAGCATGTTTGATTAATCAATGAAGTTTACTGAATATAATCTTTTTTTTTTACAAAGTTAGCAACCAGAAGTATTCAGTATCTACATAATTAAAATTGTAATAAAGCATTAAATTTTCACGAAGAAAAGTTTTTTATTTTCAAAATTGTTTTCTTTTATTGTTTTAAAGAATGCCTAACTGAACCTAAAGGTCAGAACTATTTGGGTACAAAGAATATCACAAAATCTGGTTTAACCTGTCAGGCCTGGTCTTCACAAACACCACACAGTCATTCATTCAGTAAAACCCTGGGTAATCAAGAAAACTACTGTAGAAACCCTGATGGTGAACCAAAGCCTTGGTGTTATACAACAGACAAAGCCAAACGATGGGAATTCTGTGACATTCCAGAATGCGGTAATGTAGATCAAGTTATGTCTTATGAAATTGCTTCCTTAATTTAAGAGAGTACTGTTCATTTTTCTTAAAAAAATCCAGTTATACTGAAAATTGCTACATCCACAATGAAAGAAATTCTTATCAGTATTTTGATGTATTTTTTGTGTGTGAAAAGCTTGGTGCTGGAGAAAGTATATCATAACACTTGTACCTTGATTTACTTGTACATGTGCATTATGATTTTATTTCATCTAATCGCATGTTAATGTAAAAATCTTATCAAAATAATAACAATGATGCATAAAAGAGACAAAAACATACCTAATTATCATATTATTCTGATTTTAGCTGCATGCGATGTTGAACAAGAAAAGGGTCCAGACTGCAAAGTGATTTACAAGATTTCTGGAAGTTGTCATTATGAATCTCACTATAGCAACGAATGTAAATATACAGTCAGTTTAAAGAAAGGCAGTACCGGAACACTAAAGGCAGACGTAAAATACGGAACCACAAAGTTCTCACTTGCAGATGGAAAGGGTGTAAACAAGTGTGCATATTTTAAGATAATCGGAGACTATATGGTTATCGAAGATAAACTGGCCCATGGATGCTGAATGATGCTGGTTTGCATAAAATGAAGACAATCATTTTTCAGATGATCGACAACGACACATTGCTAAAATTTTCAATTTTGAAATTTAATTTAAATAAAGTAGTTGCAGCATTTGTTTGATTTTTATGTGTGTAGTCGAAAACGACCGGTGTATTTAATGATTGAAAAGGCATAAGAAACAGACCCGATGTTTAAAAATAAAAAGTTGGAGGAATTTCTGTCGGAAAAGGTATAGACACACCATTTGACCTAACAACCGATTGTATTTATAACAAGATTATTGTATCAACCAAAGAAATTGCTAAATGTTGACTTTAAACAAGATTGTTGAAACCCTTGTATCATCTACTTATTTGTCAGTAGTCCACCTCGTTTCAGGAATTCTTTTTCTTGCGTATCGAGTCAAATGGAAGACATAATCCCATAAGATGATGATAAATGTATATTGCCCCATAAATAAGGAAAGTTGACAATATAATAATGTTTAGTTGTCAGTTTGCCATGAATACCATTTTCTAATAAAATATTTTAGCATGAAGCAAGGGTGTCCAACTGCATGTTGTCTTTATTTCGTGTTCAGTGGAATATATCGCATCAAGGTATGATTAAAAATAAATATTGTGAATTGATAAAATGTCATCAATACCGGTATAAGTGTTGAATTGAAGGAAACAGAGATTTCTCTTCATGTAGAAGTTTTAAATAAATTCTGCTTCATATAATGATGAACACAATTAGTACCCATGGGAGTTCCATAAAGATACTTACATTTATACTTCTTACTATGAACTAATAAGAATGCATCTCTCTGTATACCAGAAGATGCCTTTTACACTAGATTTCAATACATTTCTTAACTTTCATGGTTTTGGTGACCATTTCTACAATTTTTAAGAAATGTGCTCAAAAGCAAAACAGATTGTAGCTTCAAGATATGTACTTGGAAGACATTAAGTGTATTGGTAAAAAAGAAAAGGCATAAAAAAACAGAACATATTAAAGATAATCCACAAAGAAATATAGGAATGTGACAATTAAATGTTTAAAATAGTGACACATATAGTGTTACATATACACCTATCTTCTCATTGGATAGGTCCTTGACTCTTAATTATGCCTATCCAACAGTAGTTCTTTGTTTGATTTTTGCGTCATTGGGTAGTTTATATAAAGTCCATATATTTGGACCTTGCAATTATAAGGAATTCACAATTAAGCGTGTTGTCTGAGTGAATTCCTCGCTAGCGAGACAGCGTGGCTTTTTTTTTTTTTTTTTTTAGCTCTGCTGGTCAGAGACCAGAAGAGCTTTTGCGATAGTAAGGTCCGTCGTCCGTGCGTCCGTCTGTCTGTCTGTAAACAATTTTTCAAAACGCTACTCCTCCTACAGTTTTGGTCTGATATCAATATAACTTGGCACACAAGTAGACTACACAAAGATACATTATTTAGTGCATCGGTTTTTGATTTCAATGAATGGTGTTGCCATGGTTACTAAAAATAGAAATTTCTGTAAAATTACTTTAAGGTCAGACGATACGTTCCTCAAATATCTGTTTTGTATATCTTCGTATTGTATGGAAAATATTCAAAATTTTAAATACTTTCTGATTTCTAAACTGGTTTCTTATTGTCTTTAAAAAATTGAAACACTAAAAAATGTGATATTGGCAAATTAAGTTTTTTCCAAAAGGATTTTATAGGAAACAACATCCTCCGGTATCTTGCACAAATGCCTGGTAAGGTACCTCAATTTTTTGCGAGTAAACATATTAAAGTAGCAATGCTTCAATGACAAAATCTTAGAAAAATTATATATTATTGAGGAAGGTATCGTCTGTCCTTAAAACGCTACTCCTGCTACAGTTTTAGTCTGCTTTTAATATTTTTGCAATACAAGAAGACTATACTAAGATACATAATTTAATGCATCAGTCATTGATTTCGATGAACAGTGTTGCCTTGGTTACTAAAAATAGAAATTTCTGTGAAATTTCTTTAAAACGTTACTCCTCCTACAGTTTTGGTCTGATTTCAATCTAATTTGGCACACAATTAGAATACACTACGATACATAATATGTATTTCAGTTTTTGATTTCAGTGAATGGTGTTGACATGGTTACTTAAAGAAGAAATTTCTGTCAAATACTTTAAAACGCTACTTCTCTTAAAGTTTTCTTTTGATTTCAATATAACTTGGCACAGAAGTAGACTACATTAAGATACATAATTCTATTTATTGTTGCATGTTGCAAAGTTTCAAATCCAAGTGCTACTTTGTTACACGTACAGACCAGTAGAGCTACATTCTCATCAGACTTCTGGTTTCTTCAGATAAGATAATTTTTTTAAAAAAGGTATTACAAGCATACATTTTATTGTATGTTTTACTGATACTACTTAAATGAAATATCCCATAACAAATGCTTAATAACACCAAACATTTCAAATTGAAAAAAAAAAATATGCGTATCGTATGATTTATCTACGGAAGCCCGTTTAGGACCTTTCAAAAAATATTTTTGAATTCGATATAACGAATTAGAGAATTTGTTATAACGAATTTAATTCGTTATAACGATTTCTTTGAATTCGTTATAACGATTTCTTTGAATTCGTTATAACGAATTTAATCTGTTATAACAAATTTGTTGAATTCGATATATAACGAATTGTCGAATTTGTTATGAGGGTTAAAACGAATTCTAAAACTTTTTATAATGAATAAAATTCGTTAAAACGAATTTTTAAATTTGTTATAACAAGTTTTATTCGTTAAAACGAATTCGACAAATCGTTATATCGAAATCATTTATATTTTTCTACAGGCCCGGATTGTTGAATTTGATTAAACGCATTTAATCACAAATTTTAGAATTCGTTTAAACGAATTTAATTCGTAATAACAATATTTTTGAATTCCTTATAACGAATTCAATAATTTATTATAACGAATTCATTATTATAACAGATTAAATTCGTTCTAACAAATTCAAAGAAAGTGTTATAACGAAATAAATTTCCATATTTATCAAAGGTGTGCAAAGTTGCTTAGTTTTCATTTACAGTTCGTATAAGGTAAATATATAACGTCAATTTTAACAAAAAACCAATTATGTTGATTCGATAATTGGGACCATTTTTGTGCTTTTCAGCACAATATGGAATAATTAATGGTAGAGTCCTCTTTTAAAATCAAACATAAAGTCAATTCAAGACAAAGTTTAAAAACATCAGTAATTTGTTTTAAAGTTTACTTTTCGAGAAATGTAGCATAATAGAAATGGAATGATATTTTATTTTACCTATTTGGTAAACAGTTGGAAAATCTTTTGAAAACACAATGTTGGGAATTGAATTTTGCACAGGGGAACGGAAATAAAGATAAAATTCAGTGGGAGAAGCATTAAAAAAAAATCTGTTGATCACTGACCAATTTGATGTACCGATAAATGCATAAACTACTCCTAAGTATAAGGTGCTTGTCAACAGCTATTCAGTTATTCTATGTGATTTGCTTTTATGTATAAAAATGAAAGAATAATGTACACGTTATATTCAAATCAATTATCATATCCTCTATAAGATTTATAGAGACAAAAACTCGTACATAATTAAACATTTAAGATCATACACAACGTTCACAACATACATGTACATGTACTTTACAATGTATCTTTTCCACTGATAATTTTCCTATATATTCTTCTTTTTAAATTAAAATGTTATCAGCTGTTCTCAGACAATAGATAAGTAAACAGATATCAAATGAGAAAATCCTTGTATTTTTTAAAGAAAAATTAACAAAAAATAATTTTAGCTGGTATTTCCTTAAAATTTGATTCAGATAATGTGAAGAGCATTACCAGGTATCATAAAATTGCACAAAGGTCCTTTAATTATTGGAATAAGAATATGAAGTTCAAACTACGTTGCGTATGTCCTTAAAGGGGCTTGGACACAGATTTGAGGTTAATATTTTCAAATATTTTCAGTATAACATCATAACTTATATTTAACTAGAGCATTTCACACCGATATATTATATTCGCGTGTTGAGAAACCTTATTTATCTCGAAATTATCAAAACTACGAATTTCGGGAGGCGTTTGATTGACACGCATCCTTGCACTCCAAAAGTAAACTGTCCTTAATATTCAAAAGTGGAAAATTTCTTGTTTGCAAATGAACAATATCAGAAATTTATTCAAAAACTTCTACATGAGAAGAAGAAAACACTTGCTGTGACTCGACATTTCGATAAATTGAGGTATCATCAATTAACAATAGTTACTTCCATTCATATGTCGACTCGATATATCCCAGTGAGCTTGAAATAAAAGATACCACAGAGTCTGACACATCTGTTTCATATTTGGAAATTTTGCTGTATGTATGAACAATTTCTAAAACGAGACAAGCTATCGACAAACAAGTTGATGAAACAAGGATATCAACAGTCTCGTTTAAAGCCATCATTTCGCAAGTTTTATGGTCGATATAATGACCTTGTCAGCAAATACAACCTATCATTAAGTCAAATGCTGAATGACGTTTTTCATACTAATTGTTAATCCATTACTTATACACTGAATTTTCTACGGATTTTTCAGTTTTTTCCCGATAATGACAAGGAGCATACGACGAGTGAAACCGATCGGCAGGGGATGCTCACTCCTCCATGGCACCTGATCCCACCTCTGATGTTTTTTACAGGTCCAGGTTTGCTCTGCTCCAAATTTGTATGTTTCAATGGACGTTTGAGATTGATTACTGTTCGTTATCTTCATATTTCATCAAAACTATAATCCAGAAAATTCAGAATATAGAAACATGAGAAAGCAAATTTAACTCACTAGTATTGTCAGTCCGTGCCCAGTGATGTAAGCAAAGTAAACAAAATTGAAAACACCCGGTAAAACGTAAACATTAACAATAACAGAGCTAGCTCGTGTCCTGTTTACAGGCATAGATGTTTGACGTAATGTTATGAAGAATTCCCTTGTCATTGAATTTTAAGAATTTTCATGTAAGATCTATTCATTAAACTAAAA